ACTCATGCCTCCACACCACGCTCGTTTGGGAAATGGGTTCTTTGAGATTGAGTACATTGTGTTGTTTATATATGTTTTCCTTTAATGTTACCGTGTCGAAACGTGACACCCGATCTAATAATGTCGTTAATTTATCATTTATTATCACTACTTTTCACTTCATTAACAATAGTTCATCAAGCCTTCTTTATTCAAGGCATCACTTCGATAGAGAGGGTTCAAGATTATAAATTCCACGGTCTCAGGATTTCAGACCAATCACAAACCACACAACCAAGCCACACAACCACACAATCATGTACATAGAGATTTTCACAATATCACTCAATGCATATCAATCACTATTAAGAGTTTATCTATCAAATAGAATAAACCATAATCTACATCCACCAAAGAACTGACGTCAGGCAAGCTACTTCTCCAATGTCTTCCCCTTCCTTAACGCCTCCGAACGTTTCCAATCTATCAAGTATGCATAATTTGTAAGTTAACGAATCTATAGACACCCATGTTACTATATGTCTAGACTAGACCCAAAAATTCACCCGATTCCATAATCAATTTTCCTATAGTTTAACCCTAAGGGTAAGTCTTAATTCCTCCAATTAGCATAACTTTAATGGTATTCAACTAATACAATACACCTAAAATTATGTGTGATATCCAGTACCCTCACTTTCTTGCAACTTTATTCATTCTATATACTATATTTATAACCGTAATAAATTAGTCCAAATCATTAATTGACCATTAAGAGGTATTAGCCAATAACTCCAACTCACGTGAATACCTAACAACATTTCCACCCAATTTTAATAACATCAATAATAGAAGAAACTACCAACCTATATTAGCGATACTAATCACTGAGAGATAAGCACTTATGAGCAAAACTTGCTATGCCTTTGATATAATTCAATTACTCAATTAACATCTCCTAATCATTACATTATAATTACCACATAATTATTGCCTGACAATTATCCATTTAGTTTTGTCCCCAAATTAACATATAATCTTAACTTATACAATATTTTCTATCCAATACTCACTTTAAGGAATACATTAATTCGTGTTTGATTGCCAGGAAATTGTTTCACACGAGAATTGAAACCTACGGCCAATGACTTGATGCACTTAACCATTGTAACAACCCAATACACACTTAACCTCCAAGAATCTGCACGGTAACAATTAATAAAGAAACTTACCAATACGAAAACACACGGTTGATCCTTGTAGTCGCCGCACCAATAAACTCTCTTCTCAATTTGTTTTTATGCTCAAGCATCTATTTTGTCTTCCTTCTTTCAACATATTATTTACTAACCTAATTGTTATATGTAACTAATTATAAAAATAGACCACTACTAATTTTAGTGTTATCTTCTTTAATCACCAACTAAATTAATTATTAAAACTACCCCATTAAATTCATAATTGTAGTTACGAATAGTTCAAAATACCAATTTAAAATTTATCGGAAAGTATTTTATGAAAATAAAAAGCTCTAGTACTCAAAACGATCAAATGGGCCGTTACAATATAACACTATCATAAAAGAGATATTCAGTGACAATTTTTTTTTTAGCAGTAATTGAGTTAATGACATTGCATTTAAAGTTGCTAAGTCTGACAACATTTATATTTATATAAAGTGATACCTATGAATACTCATGCTTATTATTATGATGATTATGACAAATTTTTAATTGGTTATACTATGATGAAAATTATTGAGTTGGCAAAAGAAAAAAGGTCCAAATGGTGATGTCCATATCAATAATAATACTTAATAATAATGCAGCATTGCTACAACTGGAGTTAACTGGGAAAAATACATGATAAACAGCTCATAACAGTGACAAATCAAAAACTTTCTGAAAAGGAAAATGACATATAATGAACGCATGCCTAAATTGTTTAAGTGAAGTTACCTTTCAAATATCTGAAAATCCCAATTTATTTATTTTTAAGTTTTTGAATACATTATTAAATATAATATAGTTTGAACATCGAAAAGCGGAAAGAAAAATATCGATAAACTATTTGCAGCGGCGTAGTCATATATAGTTTAGGATGACGAATTGGACACTCTTTTTCTAAACATTATACCATGTATATAGAAAATTATACGAAATATATTGGTAAAATTTTAATTTTCATGCATATATGTTGAATTTTGGACATCGTCAATAAAATTTCTGACTTCGTCACGGGTTATACGAGTGTCATTTTCAGAAGCAGTCAGTGCTTCTGCCTAATTTCCATAGTCATCGTCGTTGAAGTCATGGTCAGTGTTACTGGTCCATAGCCCACAGGTCATTATTAATATTAAAAACAGTTCAGTTCACTCCCAAAAGTCCTCATAAATTGAATTTAGCCCCCAAATACTTTTTCTTTATTGAATTTGGGGTCCCCTTTTTGAATTGGTGCGACTGGTTAGGTAGTAGGCTTTAGATATTAAAAAAATGTAATGTAAAATAAAAAGTAATTTATGAAATTGCTATTTAATGACAATTGTAAATTAATTATCACTAAAAAAAAAAATTCAACTTAGGCGATGGCAATGGTCCAGCTTACGGAAATGCTACTACTTTTGAAGAAACTATTTTATTAAATTAAATTTATAAATAATATTTTAAAATTTTAAATTTGTTTAATATTTTCCTTTGTCATTTATTTCATTTCATTTTCACAGAGAAAATAAAGAGAGAATAGTAAAAAGGAACACCCAAGAACTTAGGGCAAACATCTTTTCTACTTTTCAAAAAGCATCACATCATTACTAGACAAAACATAATTTCCTCTCCAAATTCAACATGTACTTTACATTTCATCACCAAAACTTTTTTTTCAAAAATAAAATAAAATAAAATTACACTCTATAGTACTCTTTTATATGTAAATTGGATTTGACTCGACTCAAAAAATAATTCAACAAAATATCATATGAAAATTTAGGATTAAATTCAACTCGGTTAATATTTCAAAAAAAAACTATTTAACGAAAGAGATGCGTAGCAAAGAGCAGTTAAAGCATTGTATCATCGAACAAAGAAATTTGCTCATTTAATTCTTAGTAGGAGTGCTTTTACAGTAGAAGGATATTTCGTGCAAGAACTAAATTTGAAATAGTGTACTAAGTCGTTTGGTAGTTGATCAAAGTTTTATTGATATTAATAATACGTGAATTAGTTAGGAGAAAAATTATTTGTTAAGCTAAATTTACATTATCTTCTATACAGATTCACTTATAACTAATATGTATTTAATACACGCATAACTCATTTTGATAAATTGTTTTTTTCTGGTCATGTAACCCTGATTACTAGCACAAAAAAAAACATCAAACAGTCAAACTCATGTTTCTCTTACTCCTCAACTCATGTAGCAGGTTTAAAATTTTAAAATTTGATCACATTGTATAGATAGACACCTAAGATTATTAATGGTTTAATTTGTGGTATTTTATCCGAGCAAAATTTAATTGATATACTATGTTTTTATCACCTGAAAAAAGCTTCAAACAAATTTTCAGACTTGACTAGTGTTTGAACAACTAATTAATTCAGCTAATCCTCAACAGTTCAAAGGATGCAATTATTAGTTTCAATAATGTGATCTGGATCAATCAAACTCCAATATAGGCTTCGAAAATCAAATAAAAAATCAAAAAAGAAGTTCCAACAAGAAGGCAAATACTTCCTCTATTTCATATTATTTGACTCACTCAGTGTTGATCTTGACTATGTTGATTGTTGATCTTGACTATGTTAATCTATATTACTCTACTCGTGTTAGATTTTATATTACTCAACTCACGTTGATCTATATTACTTTGACTCAATGTTGATCTTGACTCATATTGATCTATATTACTCGACTCATGTTGTTCCAACATACCTTTTAAGAAAATTCACTTTATAAATAATGTTTTAGGACTCTAAATTTGACTAATACTACTATTTCGATTGTTAATTAATACCAAGATAATATGGAAAAAATAAAAAAAAACACTAGTTTGCAAAAATTAAAAAGCATACTCAAAACAATGATGAAAGGGAGAACTTTCCTTGTTATTGCTTCTCATTCCATAGTGAAAAAAAACCCAAGAGAACCCCGAAAAGGAGCACCAAAAAATTTGGGACAAAAACCAAAAAAAAAAAGTCATTCATCTTTTCCACTTTCCAGAGAGCCATTACAAGCCTCCTCTCCACTTTTCAACATTTTCATACCTTGAACATAAAACTTAATATAACAAAATAAAAAAAAATAAAAAAAACTCTTGTATATTCTTTCTTCTTCACATGTTCATACCCCTCATATGAACCATTTTTTTTCTTAATAATATTTATATATTTATAGCTAATTTATGATAAATGAACCTTCTTGAATATTATTATTTTCATCCAAGTAGGTTAGATTCATTTTTCATTTTTTGCTCAAGCAGCAGCAACAGTTCCAGGTCTCAAAGGGTAATCTTCTGAAGTTTTGTTTGGAGAAGTTGATTGTTGTTTTTGTTCCTTTTTTCTCATAGCTTTTATAGAAGAAATGTTCCTTTTTCTGTCTTTAGTTTCATCCTTCTCTATTTGTAATTGCCTACACTCTTCACTACAGAATGGAGTGTCCCCTCTGCAATACACAAATCACAAACACAATCAACACAAAGGCACAGAAAATACGTGGAGAATCGAATATTCACCAATAAAAGTAAAAATTCAGATAGTCAATCAATTGCGCTACTTGAAAATCCCATTAAGAAATAGATCTTGTATGTTTCAAGATCAAAGATTTCATCTTTAGTATAAGTAATAGTAAAATAAACATAAAGTCATCTAAGCCATTGAATGTACCATTTCTTGATTAAAATGAGATCTTTGTATCTAGAATATGAAGAAAATATATTACTACATCAAACAACCCTTTTTTTCTAAAATAAGGAAAAAAACCAAAATTTTCATTTTGCAATGGAAAAAGGGTAAAAAAACAGCACCAGAAAAAGCAATTCTCTGTTTTCTACAAGTTCAAACTCCAACACCCCATTAACCGACTCACACTCACTGTTCAAATAACTATCATTTCTTGAGTAAAAATTGAATCTTTAAATCCAAAATAAAAGAAAACATGAATTTAAAGGAACCCCATTTCCCAAAATTTCATCTTACAACTGAAAAATGAACAAACAGAACTAAAAGTACCATTTTTTTTCTTTACAAGAAGCAAAAACTCAAACTGCTACCCCCATTCACTGAATCACCATTCATATAAATATAAATTAGATCTTTAAACCCAAAATAAAAGAAAATATAAATTACAAGGATCCCCATTTTTCTAGAAGAACAGCTCAAACTGCTTTCCCATTTACAGTAAATACAGGATCTTTACAACTAAACTCAAAGAAAACAAGAATTTAAAGAAACCCCATTTCTCAATCTTAACAAAAAGAAGACTTTAAAGTTGGAAAAAAAGAACAAACCTGTACATGAAGATGTCACTGTTATCACCAATTCTTTTCTTACAAAGAAAACAAGCATCCAAGAAATAGTGATGGGGTTCATCAAATCTACCATCACAGTATTTTCCAGCAGAAATAACAGATCTTGGAGACAACAAGGAAGAAGGAGAAGAAGAAGAGAGATTCTTCATGCTATTTCTTCTTGTATAATAAAGAGGCCTATAAATCAAATTAAGATTCTTGTTATTGTTGATATTATTATTATGATTTTGATTATTATTGCCTGAGAACTCAGGTTGAGTTTCAGCTAAAGAAACAAGACCATCATCTTCTTCAATGAAACATGGTCTTCTTCTTCTTGTTGTTGATGGTGAACTCATTTTGAAGAAGAGAGAAGGGAGAAGTGGGATTTGGGAGAATTGTGGTGGAAAATTGTTGATTATAAAGAAGGGGTTT